CTTATTTTTGACCTAGAACAATAAAAAAATATTTTGGAGTAGCTTGGTGACAGGTCCACATGGAGCTCTGCATAATTTGAGATGGAATCGGCCAGATATGTTTTCAGAATTGAACAATTCCAAATATTACGAATTTTCACCACCAGTAACGATGGTGACAACATTTTTAACATAAGGCGATGTTTCGCATTGAAATGGCTACGCCCTGTCCAAATTTATTTAGTGCATTTCTCTCGGTTGTCAAAATTCTATTCCTTTACAAACTATACTGTAAAGAAACACAATGAAGAAAGAAATTCAACGCTGTAAAAATAGTAAGGGTAGATGACACTGAACATGTCAAACTTCGGCGGCATTTCTCTGAGTATAATACTATTATAATTAAAGAACACAAACTTTTAGAAAAGTTACTCTTTATACGTCAGTGACAAAATGATTAGATATAGATATGATTAGATTAATTATTTTGTTTACCTAACCCTTTTTACTAAATTCCTTCTTTATGGCTATCTAAAGAAACAAAAAGGTCTTTCTGTGGAAACAATTTTTTACGTGTTGATCTTTGCCCTTTACATCAACAAAAATACAAGATATATTTTTGAATGATTACAAGTATACGTTTTTGTATAAAATATACAGGGTCGGAAAGTCCCCATGGTTCATCGACCGTTACGTGAGAGCGATAAAGTAAGTCATAGAAATGCGTGCGACAGAGAAAGATGGCTATAATGAAGGCGTCTAATAGTCACCGCCCATTTCGCCCTTCCACAAATAAGAAGTGGATCTTATTTGAACATATGCACTATGCTAATAGGATCATGTAGCCTAAAAGGTAGTTATTTCCTGCAATATCGACAGTAAGAATTCTTGCCCTTGGGATAAATTATCTTTTGCATACCTAGATGGGCTACCCTGTACAACCTCTCGAACGAGCGGTTTGAATAATGAATACCGAGCGAGGTACCTGCCTCTACACCGTATAATTAAACCAAATGAAATATAGAACCGGTACGATTTATTTACTTAATTAATATCTAATAACATCTTACACTCTGTGATTATCCCGTGTTTCCCTGTATGTGCATATTCCGCCCACTATAGAATTCCCTCTACTCGCCATCGTTAAAATATCAATCAAAGCCTATCGGAAATTGTAAAACTAGTTTTATTTTACTCGCATTCAATATCGACGCGGTATTCGGCCCACGCTGCCATGCTAGGTGAAAAATTGTTAGTTACAAGGCTCGGACGGACTTGGACGGGTATAGTCCGAGAAAAAAGCAGCGGTCATATCCGTATGAAGAGCAGAGTGATGGGTTTAAGCGTGAGGAATCTTGGAGGTATGTTAATTGCGGGCTGTTAAAATGTTTTTAAAATGAACGTAAAGTTATATGTAGCACAAAAATAACCATTAAGGCTAAGCTCACACTGTACTGTTAGTCGTACGACAAGTACAGCGCGTGAATTTGAAATTACCCCAACATTTTGTATAAACAAAAATTTTAAGCGTATTAAACTTTAATAGATGCAAAGCGTGAAAAATAAATAAACTGGATATTGGAAGAAGATAAATCAAGTAGCACATTATTTATTTGTACGGTGTATGAGTTATAGTTATAAAATAATTTAAATATCTTGTTCATTAAAATAAGTATTTATTTATAAAATATTTCAACTGTCCTTTTTAATTTTTTTTTATATTTAAATATAACAGAGTGTTACATCTATGAAAGGTCACAGCCACTCATGTCTACGAGTTTATTCGTGCTTACCAGCAAAACGCTACCGATGTTGTCACAGATACTATGATAGCACCAACTAAGCATTTGCTTAGATTTAAATTTAAATTTTAACTGTAGTATTGTATTATAGTATTCCTAGTAAACACCTAGAATCGTTCGTCAGTCGAACCACCAGACGTATATTGGATTCGGACTTGTTAGTCCTAAGCCATAGACATTTAGTAAAAGTGATCATGTTTGTAGCACACTTTTGTATCTCGTGTATACTCACGTCATGTCTTGAGTTAAAATAATGAGCTGGACTAACTAGTCAGAAACTGTTATATGTCTGGCGGTTCGACTGACGAACGATCTCATCTGTTTATTAAATCTTACAGATATTATTCAATGATGGACACGGTATGCAGGGCGCAGGGTATTTGTTTCCTGCTATACTATCGTTAGTAGGTTTAAAGTTTAAAAACCCTAGGGAAGCGACGTCATGTTATTATAGTTACAGTCTCCAATCGACGCACAAGAACAAAGTAGTTTTGAAATTGATGATGCCATAGCGTAACAGTTAAATCATTCCAATCTTGGGGGAAAAGATGGATTTGTTGATGTAGGCATAGTTTCTAGAGTAGCATCCAACCATGGAATCAAGAGAACTAATGATCAGGACCGTAATGGGATATTTTAGTTCTGTTCGCAAGCGTAAAATACCAAATTTAAGGAAAATTTTTCGCAGATGCTTGAACAGTGATACTGTTATTAAGATACCACATGGTTCTCAAGTTAAGTTTATCCAATTTTTTAAATGACTGCGTTAATTGACAACCTGGTTCTAAAGCTGAAATATAAATGACTGTGATAACCATGGTATGTCAAATTATATTCCTTCATTTTAACAACTTGACAACAATGACAAGTCCACCTTTTATTTGACTGATTCCCCCGGAAATTGAATCCTTTAATTAAATTTTGCTCCATTTTAAAATCAGGAAATATTAAGTGAGAAATAAATATTAACTAGTCCGATGAGTTCTAATTCATAAATATTTCTCTCATCTCTTATTTTGTAGAAGACAATATAACAAAAATTTTATCCTCAGTAACAGTGCAACCTGCATATATGTTTTTAAATATAGAAGTAAACGTTTTAAACGGGTGTTAGCTGCCATGCTAATTCGTGACGTCATTTAGTGCGATCGATAATCGAGGAGATGAATGGCAGGGAGAGAACAGTTTGAACATAGTAAATAATAAAAGTCTAAAAGCAGCCAAATTCATATTGTTATCCAGCTCTCCGCACGCGCTTTTCTTGTAGAAAAACAGATTGTGTTTTGGGTCACACTAAATGACGTCACAATGCGTTCCTGTTCACGTGGCAAAATTTAAATTTTTACATAAATTTAAACATATGTACAACTAATTTGTAGCATTAAATAAATTAATTATTTTACCACTGTTAGTTGTTGTCGGTTATAGATTATACATTTACGCAGTTCCGAAAGAAATAAAATTTGCATGCAACTTTCCTGTTCCAAGGGCGACTAGATCTCAAACAATTAATTTATACATCCTCTTTCATACTGCCGTAAGTAACTTCAAATGTCTTGGCAGATCTGAGGATGAGCAATAAATGCTAATGGAATACCTATATAAATCAACTAAATGATTTTTAGAGAATATTTATTGATTTAACGGTCAGTGGCATACATTTACCATTAGTACTGGTAATTTTAGGAATTAAAACTAAAAAAAAAACAACGCAAAAAACTATCTAGTGCATGCCTATTTATAAAAGGAAGCATTAAGCTAGAAATTAGTTTTTGCTCTAATTATTTTAATGGGCTAACCTCATTATTTTAATCACAAGGACGCTCTTCCTATTTTAAAATTCGAAAACGCTGTTAAATCTGTACAGGAAATAAGCTCTTGATATAAACAGGTCCTGTTGATCTATTTCTTTGCAAGGACGCGCTTACTAGATATCTATTTTAGAGTTTGAAAATAAATGATACTCAACGTAGAAGAAATTAAAACTAAACGGGAGGCTACAAAATCAATTTTTATTTTCATCAAGCTAATGTGACCCCATTTCCTTATTTTAAATATTGAATTGTGTACATTTAGAATATAAACATTTACTGCCTCATAAAATCATTGCTATTTTTAAAACAAAGGGAATAAGAAATGTAAATATATAAATTAAATTAATTGGCATACATAATTTTAAATATCTTATTTTCAAACTAATTATAAGTTAATTTAAAATACTTTTGATTTTTATCTTTATATTGCAGGGAGATTGTTCTTTTAATTACTATTTTTTAACTGAAAATTTTGGGTTCCAGGGATATTTAAAATTTATTAATTGTTAACTTTTCTTAAAAAATACATTACAAAATATAGAAATTAAAAGCGAAACAATCAGGTATTTACATCTTTGATGTTCCTTGATAAAAATCAAGAAAAAATTCTTGATACGAGATAGGTACCTAATTATTAAGGCTGTCAGAGAGAACCACAATTTAATGACGTGTCAAGCGGGTCAACTGAGACATGCGTGAGCCGCTGCTTCGGAATGCTTTTCACGTTCACGACACGTTAGTATACTGTTGACTTGTTATCGTGCGGATATTGCGTAATTAATTCCTATCCTCTGGTGTTTATAGTGGTGTATTATTGACAATTTAATTTGTTGCTTTTTAATAGATAATGCGTCCACATATGTGCCGCGGCTCAGTTCTGACAGCCCTACTAATTACTTTTATTTCTGTAGGAATATTTATGTCGTGACTTTTTCTAGGTATACGAGAAATTTTATAACAGTTCTTAGAATTATTAATTTTTTTTTCTCAATTGACAGTTTAATAACATTTAATTTTGACAAAAGTCCAAAAGCGATTGCTAAAATGTAACGATAATTTTGCGGCAAACTATTTCTAATAAACTGTCATATGTAAATGCGTTAACAAGTAGATTTTTCACCGCCAACAGCGATCATGTCACCTAATTTATAGTCAGCAGTCACTCTGCCTATTACTCCCATTTAGAAGCATTTACTCTGAAGCGAGGCATTAGAATGCCTGACTTATCACCATCGTTGCTATTCATTTATTCAATAAACGATCCTGGCAGATATCAGTCGGACACAAACGAAAATAACTGCGCAATCCTGTCCGCAGACGTAAATTAATAAAATTACATTTCAATTTATTTCTGACTTTTACACGCTACTGTACGGTAACGTAAACATTGAGCCCAGTAAGCCATGAAAGCAACACTCTGACATTCCGTTTTCAGACAAGTGCACATCGGGTTAGCACGCGCGGGCTGCTGCGTTTTTAAATTTGTGTCCTCTAACTCGACTGAAAAAGTCGTTAGGCTTGCGGTTTATACGGAGTGTGTTTCGTTTTTTTTTGACGTATACGAGAAATCGAAGTGCATTTGTTTGAGCTTATCCGATACGACCTATAGCGATGTGTAGTGTGTGTTGTACTGCACTGGGTATCTATACATAAGGATTACTTTCAAGGACATAGATCAAGGATTACCACTTCTTACTGATCGGTGCTCTGCATAGCGGAATTTTTGTAGATTGTCAGTGACAAATTTTATTTATCTTTAACAGTTTAGGTTCTGCAACGAGTGATTTGTTTGTTTTTCTTGCTGTTTTTTGAGAAATAGATTTTTAAACAAACTTTTACATATCTTGAGAGTTCTTTGGAAATGAAGACTGAGTTGTTTCACAAATATCTAGATACTATTTCCGTACGAATTTTTTTTATTAAACTTATTTTTTATATCTTTATTAAAAAAATGGTAAAGTTAAATTGACTTTAATGCACCATAGAAAACGTAGCTCTCAACAGGATGAAATGAAAAAAATAGCAGCTGTTTGCGGTAATATTTATAATTGTGTCGGTTGTACATGAGTTGCAAAACTAATTGCAGAAATTAACAAAATCTGTGATGTTGAAATTATGTTATATATTTTTTAACAATTTTATAAATAAATTAAAAATTTATTAAGAAGTAAAACCAGAACTTTCATTTCTGAAGGTCTAAGTTATTTATTAATTATAAAAACGAATTAATTAGATATAATATATCTTAATACATTAGTCTCGGTAATTAAATTAATAAATATTTTTTTCCTATTCAAATTTTTTTTCTTTGATCTATCTAGGCTACTTTTAATAAATATTCATTATTTTCAAAAGGTAACAACGTTGCGCAAATAATTAACATAAAAAATGTCCTTGGAATATTTCCACAAAATGTGCTGACTTGTTAAAAATATTTACCAAACTGTAGCAATTAACTTATTTGTTAAGTCTTCGAGGCTTTACAGCCTTTGAATTTTTATATTTGCTTACAAAATTCACCTGCTATACGCACTACTACTACTATTAAATCGGAAACGATCTAAATCGATACGATTTCTAAACTCCACAATCTGTTTGTAAAATCTGTAGTTTATAGCCAAGGCATTTATGTGGATGGCATAAACAATTCTATTTTTGAACGGAAAAGTTGTAAAGTGTACATCTTAAATGAGAATAAGGTTAGACTGTGTTCTTATTTTTAAAGTATTGCTAATTACATATTTAGGAAAAAATGGCATCAAATTTATTTGATGTCAGCTACAATTATAAAGAATTCGTATAATAACAATTATGTCTTTAAAAAATTTGCAACGTTATATTTTATAGTGAATTATATGAAGATACTTAAAAAAAGTTGGTTGATTCGAGAGAAAGTCACTGCAATATTTAATTTCTAATTTTCACACTTTTAAATAAAATGTAAACATATAAATATGTGTCGTTACAAGACAAACATGTTTTTAAAGAAAGAAAAACTTGTAATATTGTATCTTCAGCTCTTTAAATATTATTCATGAAACTGTAATAATAACCAGAAACACACATTGAGATGAATTACTTTTGTAAGAAACTGCACTGTCTAAAAATGTAAATCGAAGAAATTTTTTTATTTTTAGACCTAAAATATGTTAGTTATAAAAAATACAAACATATGTCTAAGATAAAATTCAACATCAATACGAAAATGCTTACAAAAATCCAACAAATGCAAATTATCTACTAAAATATGACATTTTGTTCCCCTTTCGTCTAAGTATATAAAATTTACACCAGTACAAGATTATAAGTGTGAAGAGTAACGTTAATAAAATCTGAGACACCCTGTATATATCATGACAAAGTGTCTAAAACGTAATAGGACTTGTATTGAATCGGTTAATATATGTTAATATATTATAAATAATTTATTTTTATTGTAAAATGACACCTTGTACAAAGAACTGACATCTAAAATATGCTTTCTGACTGACATTGAGATAACGAAAGATTATTTGAATATAAATATACCAGGACATCTATCAGAAAACACGTAAAATAATTGAAATTAATTTAAAACGTAATAAAGTTTTATTTTTGGCGACTTTTTTCTTATTTTTGGTCAAAGAATCACCTGCATGGATCCTAGTGGAATATTACATCGCTCTGTACACCATACGAATTTGATTTATTTTCTAACTAATCAACAAGTGCGCTATGACCACAACCAGAAAAAATATCCAACAAATGTCACAAAACTGGACACTCTACGTAATGAAAAAGTGGTAATCCTTGTACCTGTCATTTAACCGACTAATTAACATTAATTTTACAATAAGCAATAAACACTCGTATCGACCGCAAGTTATTCTAAACTACACACTATACGCTGTAGGCGCAAACATGAAATATGCTGCAACTATAATTAGCATCCCATTTTTCCATATTCACCGTATAAAAAGGTTAAACAAACAAGGGAGATAAAAAATGACGAAATATACAACGATCTTGCTCAAGTTTAATCCAAATATTGTGCATAGACTTTACTTAAACACATAACAATGGCGGACGCGCGATGAACTAGCCCGTTTTTGTTGAAAAGAGACTTATTCGAAAAGTGCTACTACGCAAGGTGCTAATTCTTACGTCGCCGGGAAAATTTATGTGTGTTTTAAGTGCTAATTGTGAAAATTAAGTGATCTAATAAAGGAGAGTAAACATGGGACAAAGCAAAACGACGAAAAAAGAAGTCAAACAGCTGACGAAAGAAGAATTGAGCCAAATTAAAAAGGTATTTCTTGGGAAACATGTCTAAGATTACAATTACTTAATTTGTAAATGTTTGAGCTAGAGATATTTTTAACCGGTTTTTAAATGTCCATTAGTAGTAACAATTTATTCACACTTAGTTGTCAAGGATTTATGCAAACACCCATGAATAAAAAAGTGGAAGCTGTGGAATATAAAATTTCGAATGTACTACATTTAGAGGAACTAAGCTAACGATTTTTTTTATACAAAATATCTACTAACTACTTTATAATTATTACCTTCGTGTGCATCATGAGATTACTGATGATTGTAAAATTAACAAAGTACGTTAATAGTGTAGTAAATGTAAAATATTTTATTACAAACAGTGTATGCTATAAAACGAGGAATTTTTCAACTACATATAGTGACTAACGAATATATAATAAAACATCCTGTTTTTAAATATTGTCAGGTCATTTCTAGCGCGAATTCTTTTATAACGTAGGAAAACATAATAATAGTTGTATGAGTTGAATGTACTCAAAATAATATTAAGTAAAGTTTATAATATGCTGATTTAACATCACATCAAAAAATAAATGAGAAGGTAATAATCACACAATGTTCAAAAATATAAAGTACAACTTTTGAAATTTGGCATTAAACAGAAAAAATAATTATTTGTATTGATATTCTTTTAGAAAATTCATGTATTTTTGTAGTAACCTTACATTTTAATAGAATTTGCCTTATTAAATCACTTTCATTTATCAATATTTAATAGTTATTTGTTTAACTAGCCAGTAAAATACATGATTTAATGCCGCGGTTTATATGTACATGATTTAATGTGGCCAAGGCACTAGATCTATTTTACTGTCTAGTTAAACACATAATTTTTTCGCCAATCAATTTTAATTTTATCATAATAGCAAGCAAAGCTACTTATTTTATATTATTGAAATTGTATACTTCTTTTATGAGTAATAATAATTTCATCAGGTCGTCTGTGATTGCTGAGACGATTGGTACACAGAAATCGCCATATTGTTCCTATTTAAATTCATAAAAATAACTATTTATTATTTGAGATGGACGAAATTAACATTAACACCGCCAAAAATTATTGAATCTGAAACATATAAAAAATTTAATGATTACCGGGCTGACAATAACATTGTCTTTTTCAGAAAATGTACTATTGCTATATTTTTTGAATTAAGCAAAAGTATGAAATCTTCCTCATTATGGTCAATATATTCGATGCTCAGAACTACTTTAAATTTCTCAACATCAATATTGGAAACTATCTAGAATTAAAAGCATTCTTGAAACGCCAATCGGATGAATATCGTGTTAAAAATTCATGCGTTTTGGAAAATGAACAAATTAAAAAATTTCTTCCAGCCCCTAAACGAAGAATACTGATTATTATTATTTTAGATGGTAATGATTTTTGCCATATCTGGGACGTGTCGATGTGATAAATAATAAAAATTGTAGATATTGAAGGTATTGGAAAATATGTTGCCGTTGCTGATCATTCTGTCAACTACAAAAATAAGGTGTTATCACAAAAGGAAAATTAAATAAAAATAATTTTCTCATGGCACAATTTGATACATTTATTTTGCAGTAGAAATTTTGAAACTAGTAATGAATTATTGAAATGGATTTTACTAGAAAACAGCTCAATATATTAAAATCTAACAATAGTACTAGAAAACAGCTCAATATATTAAAATCTAACAAGAGTACCTTTTTTTATGCAAAATATGATCAATTTTGATAATTTCGGTTGAGGCAATAAAAAAAAACACGTAAAAAACACTTTGTAAAATTTGCCGCATGAGCCCGCATTTTCTTAGGCCCCTGTAGCAAATTTTATATAATATTTGTATATTATAGCGTTTATTAAGGATATAAATAGTAATACAACCCCAAAATGTCGTGATTTAATATTAAACCGTTTTGAAGTTATGCAATAAAAACTGTTTCCTGAGTTACACCTTCAAGGGGCTGTATCTCCCTTAGGGGCCGCCACTGACAAAATCTCTACTAAGGTCGTCATCATATTTCGATATATTTTACATACTCTACAATTTTGAATACTTATTTCGTTAACACCTTGTATATCGGAAATATAGTATCGCAAGCCCTAGGTACACAAATAGATAGTACATAATTGAAATGGTAAAGCATACAATAAATTAATAGGAATTCAGACATTTGGGACAACACCAAAACCAGTAGTTGCGTTTCTCAAAATGAAGGATGCTCACGAATATACCGAACATTGCTTCCGTAGAACTTCAGCTACTACTATTAATAAATTCAGGGGCTGATATCACAACTTTAAAAATGCTAGATGGAAATCTTCTACGGTAGCTGAAGGCTACATTGAGGAGTCCTTAACTCGTAAATCAGTTGTTAGCAAAATAAATATCCCTACTACTAGTACATCAAGTGGTGGGAGCTTCTTTTTAAATATGTAATTCCACCACTTTGCAGGATTGAATACTTTATAAACCATAAAACACTTCAACCTACATAGACTAAGTGTAAGTACCTAAATGTTTCAAAACAAACAGGGTAATGGATCCCTTACATGCTGTTCTAATATCACTATAAATGTTTACAATAAATAGAATTACTTTCGTTAAGCAACAATTTTAATTTTTAATTTAACAGCAGTAAAAATGATTCTAATGCATAGGCAGTAAATGTAACACTTTAGTGCCTGACAGCTGTCACTAAAACTACGCCTTTAATGTCGATCGGCGAAAAACTATTTTTTTTAAACGTACATACGCACAAATATTATAATGTGACGTATCACTCCAATCATAAAATATAATTAACCAAATAATTGCCGACTTTTCTAGAGAATTAGAATAAAGTAGGTAATTTACATCATTTACTAAATCCATTTTTCTCTCTGTAAATATATCAATAAATGCTATTTTAAAACTATCAATCACCGCTGTCGAAGGTCAGTTTATGTAACAAAATTCGCTGATTGTTTAAGCTAGACTAGATATAAGTCATATTTCCATCTGGTGTTTATGTTGTTGATTCCTTTAAAGGAGATAACTGCATCATTTACTATAAGAGATAATTAATTAGAGTCAATCAAATTAATTTTCCACGAATTAACATAAATCTGTTTCTACTTGAGACTAAATTTGGAAATAATTTCATTACAAGCAGAATGTAAAGTTTAAAAATTTTAAAATACATATATTTTAATTATAAAAATAGTTCATTTCACAAAATTCTATTTGCATACGTAACAACAACCTTTGAGGTCAACTTATAATTACGATCTTACGTTAATTGGGGCCGTAAAATAGATTTACATATAATTATCTACAAAGCAGCTCTGCAAATTGCACCTTCCCCATGTAAAGGATTTTACAGCCGTGCAAGAAATGACAAGTGGTCTTAATGCAATTAGTATGCACAATTATAATATGTATATGTAATTGCTAGTACTAAATGGATAGTACTTTGAGATAGCAGGATAGTTAAAGTTGTGTCCGATATTGTTTGTACATGTTTTTGTGTTGGTACTCTTGTTAAATGGATATTTTATGGCAGAACTAAAATTTATTGCTAAAGAAGTAAGTGAAAATGTTCAATCAGGCGTCACAAACTGGATATAACAAAGACCTTAACTCTTTTTCTACTCCATAGTTCATTATCCTAAGAATAACGGTTTTATGGATTTATACACAGATAAAAGTAGACACTCTGTATATCCTGAAAATTATTAATATGTTATAACCTCTCGTGTTACTATTGCAATCAACTTTTCATTGTGATATTTGTCTCAACCAATTTTCCAAATATCATAGAATCAGATTAGCAACTTTTTTGTTGGAAGGCGTAAGAGAAATGAAAAAATAAAATATACCTAATTTTGTGTCTGAAAGTAATAGCCCTAAAAAATATTGCTCCTTGTTATAAATATAATATAATTCTACACGAGGCTACATTTCCAAACCTCTGTTGGATAAAGTAGGATTATTATACGAGTATCAGTTGGGAAATTCTTCATTCCGCTAGATTGATTTTCCAACAGAAATATTTTCCAGATGCTTAGTCTCGAGCTATTCCGGTTAAATAAAACTTTACTGCCTTCTCATCTTTTACTTTCCCTCTAATGACAAGATTTATTTCTAGAGTTTCTGAAACATTAAAACGACTATTTTGAGAAGCTATCTTATTGGGCATATAACCTAAATATTATACTATAAATTATATTTCAAAGTTATTTCACAATTTATTTATATAACTTTTGCGAATTAATCAATTTAATGTGCCGAGTTTATTTGTGATAATTTATATATAAAAGAGTAAAAAATATTAATACATATACAGAAAATGGTATTCTATTACGTTTTACAGCTTCCTGAACATAGATTGATTCAGAAATTAGTACATTTTGAAAAGTATCAAAATGTGTATTACAACCGTAAATCATCATAAAAAATATATTACATGTAAAGAGGGAAATGAAATATCCTTTGTCTTCTTTTGTTTTCTGCCAGTATTGTTCAAACTACACCTATTTGCAAATTTATATATAAACACAAAAAAAAATTGAAAACCTGGTTATGGTAAAAATATTAAAAAAAAAACAATAATTATAAACAATTATTATATATTCAACGCTTTCCTTGCAATTACATAATTTATAAAATCAGATTCTTCTAAGTAAAATATAAAAACAACAAATTAGAACTGGAATTAATCAACTTAAAACGTATATTAAAGTAATAACTATTTAACCTGTAGATCTCCGAGTAATACACATTTTTTCTGGCTTTTTCTAAATTCTTTGTATACAGACGCTATTGCTTTTCTTATGGTGGCAACACGTTCCCGAACTTTTATTTTTTTTAATCAGTTTTTGATTTTTTTTAATTTAAACAAATTATCAACAATTACTGAAAAATTCATTGTTGCAAGTAATTTTTTATTTTTTTTTTGCATTTTCGAGCATGTTTTTGAACTCTACAGATTGTTTTTATT